AGGAACATTAAAAGTCTGAAGAAGAAAGAAAGCAGAAATCAACAAAGCAGGTGGAATATGAATGAACTGATTTGACTAGTTCTGACCTGACCCAACATGACCTGAACTGACCTAACCTGACCTGACTAGACTTGGTTTGGTCTGACCTTACCTGACCGGACATCACATAAGAAAATAGAGGGCGGGTGGGCGGGCCTCCATCTTCTTAGCGGGTATGTCATTTGCCAAAAACATCTTATTTTGGCAGGTACAACCCCGCCTTCCCGCCCTCCATTTTCTTAGAGGGATCACATTTGCCAAAATCAGTCTCATCTTAGCAGATACTAAGCCCACCCACCCACCCTCTCTTTTCGTAGAAGGTATGCGATTTGCCAAAAATCAGTTTTGTCCTAGCAGATACTAGCCCCCCCCACCCACCCTCTCTTTCCTTAGAAAGTATGTCATTTGCCAAAATCGGTCTTATTATAGCAAATATTAGCCCCGCCCACCCACGTGGTTTATTATAATGTGAATTATATGTTCTTTTGTAAAGTGGGAATGGGAACTAATAGAACGTATACTGTTAGAATAAAAGCGTCAATCGTAATTTTCTTGTTATACTATTTGCTATAAGATTTATTACTTATTTCAGGAGCAACGAATGAGAAAACGGGTGGGTGGGCGGGGCTAAGTTTAGTTTTTTCCTACAGAGTCTTTTATAAGCAAGCAATAGCCCCGCCCACCCACTCGCATCTTCATTCCAGTGACTACTTTTAATATTGTTCAGTCATTTATCAAAATCAGTCTTATCCTAGCAAATACTAGACTCACCCACCCACCCTCTATTTTCTTAGACGGTACATATTTTGCCACAATCATTCTTATCTTAGAACTAGCACCTCCCACCCACCCTTTATTTTCTTAGAGGTTATGTCATTTACCAAAATCAGCTTTATCTTAGCAAGTTCTAGTTCCACCCACTCGCGCTGTTCTCATTCTAACGATTTTATTTCTGTCAAGTATAAGATCCATCTTTCATTCAGAGCAGATCAAATGAATCACTGAAATGGAGGCGGGGCGGGTGGGCGGGGTTAGGCTTTTAAAAAAAGAAAAAAGCACCAATCGGAAATTTTTTTAACCTACTCTCCAGTATTTTATTTATTCATATGTAACCAGGCTAGAAAACAGTGTTTATGAGATTTTTCAAAAATTTTTGAAAATCTTGGAGTTTCACGTTGTCTGACAGCTTGCGGGCCTCTATTTTTTTAGCGAAAATTGACGAAACTAGCAAAATTATTTAAGGCAGATATGTGTCTATTATATGGATCACTATTATAAAGTGGAACATTAAAATCACCAAGAACAATGGTGAAGTTATTGTTTACGGCCAAAAGAACACCCTCACCTCTAGTTAAACCAGTGGCACTGAAATTTCTATATTGTCTATAGACACAAAAATTATTTAGTGGAAATATATATTTCGCTGCTATCAATATCTTCGGACAACCATGTCTCCATAAGAGCAACTAATGCAACACTGTTTGATGACATATAATTATATACTTCATTAACTTTGGTGCTTAGACCTCTGACGTTTTGGTACAGGCAATTGTAGGAATTGTTGCGACTGGGTGAGCGATTAAGTTTAAAGATCTGATAGTGACAATTCTTGGTACACCGTTACTGTACCGGATTCTGAGATTAGCTTCACCCTTAGCAGTTCTTTCTGTAAGCTCTTGTTTAATTTTCTTATAATAGTCTATTTGACGGGGAGTTTTATCATATGATAGGAAGATATCTTTAAATCGTTCAACACTTTTAATTTTTTTTGAGAATACGAAGTCTATACTACCTTCGTAAGGATTATAAAACAGGCAGTTCAATGATGTTAATTGATGTTATATGAAACCAATAAAAACCAGATTCACTCACATTAACACCGAGCACACATAGCACCTCAAGTTTACTCTATGATATTTACCTTAAAGTTTAGAGAACAGGAAAACTTAGTAAAAGTATAAAGTGTCACGCCAAATAAATTTGAAGCAGGAGCCGATGCTTGATACAACTGTGTCCTGAGACCCTCATTATTTATACGTTTTATAAATTATTATTTTCACAGGCATATTCATGACACGACAATAACGTTCTCAGGGTATAGCCATAAACAACACAAAGCTAATAGACTTATCTTTAAATATATGCAGAATATTTCTATTATATTTACATATTTAAAATCTAGAATTTGGAACAAAACTTACCTTTAGGAAACACTTACAATATAGAAAACTGAAAAGTGTTTCAACATAATTTAAAGAGAACACCCTGGATTTTAGATTATTTTAGAGCTTAAGTATAAGTCAGCTTTTTTTAATAACTTTTCTAATATTTATTTTTTTTATAATTATTAATAATTCCCAACAAACGCTTTCATACAGCGTTTAGAGGAATCTTAAATAGAAATAAGTGTGACTGTGTTATAAAATATAGAATGTACCATTTAAAAAAGACAAGAAAGCTGACAATTAGACAAGAAGTCTAAACATTTTTCGAGCTGTTGTACATATAACTAAAAAGTTTTTATAAATTATCAAATTTTTATCTTTAAAGATAATGTTAATTGTGTCCAATCACTTTAAAAAAACTTTGATATGTAAACGTTAAACAGAACATCTGGTATTGTTTAAAAATATTGTAAATAGGGAGACTGCGCCATAATTTATTGAATGGTCCAGAATAAGCGCCTAATTATCCACCACTACCGTGTATATGTATACTATATCTATAGCTTCTGGATTGGAATGTTATGTTATACCGGGTGTATGGAAAATGACGGATTAACTCTTCGCTACGCTCTGAACAATCAACTGGTTAGTCTGGAAAAATGGTAAAAAAATTTCGTTCTCACATTTTGGTGGAGTTACAATGATTTTAAAATTGGTTATTTTGCTACGTTTAACAACTAAACAACAAATTAATTATTACAATAACTAATAATAAAACTTTTTGTTAATATTTCTTTCGTCAATGACCATGTTTAATTACCATTTCAGTTAGAGTGTACAAAGTTATGGTTGTGTTGTTTTTGTAATAATTTGATAAAACAAAAATCGAATAAGCAGTTAAAAATGTTTGACGTATCAAAAATTGTCAAAGTTTTCAAAATCCTACGTTTAAACTGTTCGCCATTAATTGTAGGTCCCCGGCTATTTTAATTTCATGTAAATTTAAAGGAATCTGGTGATTTGTTGCTGGATGAACTTGAAAATAAATCACTTATCTTATCAGGTACTAGCCCCGCCCACCCACCCTCTCTTTTCTTAGAGGGTATGTTATTTGCCAAAATCAGTGTTATCTTAGCAGGTACTAGCCCCGCCCACCCGCCCTCACTTTTCTTAGAGCTTATTTCATTTGCCAAAATCAGTCTTATCTTAGCAGCTACTAGAACCGCCCACCCACCCTCTATTTTCTTAGAGGGTATGTCATTTCCCACAATCAGTTTTATCTTAGCAAGTACTGATGACTAACTTTTACAAAAAATGATCAAAATGTGGAAACATTGCGAGCTTACTTATATGCACAAGGCAGGAATTTTGAACATCTTCTCTAGTGTTTAGTTTGTTATGCTTTAATGGACTAATGACAAATAACAGCTTGTTTTATTATGCATGACGATTAATAACTACTGATTGTTGTGGTTATTGTTCCAAAAAAAAATAAAAAGGTGGATTCAGTCACCATTCTTACTAAGAAATCTGAAAGTAAGCCGGAGATATTCACGCATTAGCTACTTTCAGTGTTGGCAATTTTACTTACTATAAAATTACGTTTTTTTTTTTTCGTAATCTGCATCATAAAGAATTGTTTTATTATTTTTTAGTTGGGACTCCCGAAACCCCCGTACAGAACGTACTGAAGAGTTCATTCACCATTTTCCAGACACCCCGTATAACTTATCATGTGCATTTATCCATGACGTGTGTGCTCAATGGTGCGTTGTTAATAAGGCTTTGAAGAATTCGAAAAAAATGATTAAGTAAATCGCTACACCAAACTTTTGAAAATATTGAAAGTCAAAATTGAAGAAAATGCTTGATAATAATTCTGATTTGTTTTATTAAACTGCATTGTCTAATATATGGTTAAATAATTAGTTATTAATAATTTAATAGTTATTTGCTAGAGTACGATTCACAACATCTTTTTTTCTGTTGACAGACGTAATTTTTGACAATTTTTATCGGAATGTTAGATTTTCAGTTAAATTCACATTTAAACATATCAGAATTACCAAGTTAATTCTTCAATTTTGAAGTTTAAAATATTGAAAAATTTGGATTCTGCAGAACCTTCTTTACAATGTATCATCAAGCAACTACGTAATTTTTTCATTACTCTGTATATGTTCGTTTTATAATATACTTCGATGTTGTCAAAATAACGAATAAGATCGTATGTTAAACTAACATTATAATACGAATAATATATTTACTAAACGTGGGTGATTTGTTAATATATTTTGCACCGATTTTTTAGCAGGTGCTACAAACAACAAAATAATCCAAAAATTGCGAATCACGTTCCTTAACCCCGTCTAATTCCATAATAAGTTTTTTTTTTAATTAAACTATTCGCTGCTTACATTCAATCGCATTTTAATAACATAGATAATTACAGCAACACAAGCCCGCTCAAGAATTTTTATTTCGTAATATCGCCTTCATAGAAGAAATTAAAAAACATTTTCCTTTTAATTGACTAATCCAGTTACCTTGTGTGAGGCGCATTTTAATAAGCACAAAGTCTAATTCTATTTTGAGCTTAATACGAACAGTTTCACTGAAATTTAAGTTGCTTATATTACGCGACGGGAAGGTTAATTCGTTGCATCTCGGGAATATATTCCGCCACAAGTTCTCTCTGTCTCTCTAAAATGAAACCACGCTTTCATAAAATGTTTTATTTGTCCAAGAAAATAAAGAAAATAAAACTTAACGTATAAAATCTCGATTGCAGTCAACCTTACGTCTAATCACTAAGTAAAAATTGGTGTCTAAATTAACGTCGTTAAAGCTTTCAGTTTGTTAATCACAGAAACTCGCACTACCAAGGTCTCCACATGTCGCTACTTTCTCCTGCATCCCGGGAAGTAGAAGCCTCAGCTGCGTCCCTGCTACTACTATCACAAGAAGTAGTTGTTTCCGTTTTGATTATTTTAGCAGCCGGATGTCCGTAATCCTTGGCCACGGTCAACAAACCGTGTCCTGGAGACATCTCCGAAAACTTTCTTTTCACTCCTTGCTGCCGATTTTCTTCGAAATCTGCAGCGTCGTCTCTTGCTTGAGCTTGTTTATAACGTTCCGACTGATTTGTGATGATACACAAAGGTTCTATTTTTTTCGGACTGGGAAACTTTTTTTCCCTCTCTGTGTAACTGTGGATGGGGAATTTCATACTTTTCACCTCCATGGGTTGAGATCCTGGAATCGACGTAGAAGACACTTGTGGTACTTGTGGTTGTTCTTGGTAACTACTGCTCTGAGGTTTCGATGGTTGCACCGGCCGGAAACCACGATTTGGGCTAGGTGGAGGACTGGAACATGTGGTGGACGACGATGGTATCACAGTAGCAAAGGCACTGGGTCTCTCCCTTTGTTGGGTAAAACTAGGCAAAAATGGCAAGTTGCTCGAGTTTGGTAAAAGTAGAGCGATTTCTCCGCTTGGAAGTCTACTAGGAATTAGTTGGATGCTCTGAGGTATTTGTATTCTTGCGTTGTTGTTCTGATCCCCTACACCCGACGCTGCTTCGTTGCTGGTACTTTGACCAAAAACCTTCGTTGACGACATAAATGGTAAATTGGCAAAACCCGGAAAGTTGAAATGTGAAACTTGTTCTATCCCACTTATGCATTTTTGCAAATGGGACCTCATCCGGTCTTTTAAACCACCGTCGACACCATCAGCTTGGTTGACAAATCGGTCGATTTCGGTGGCACATTCGTTGAAACCTGACTTGAATTTTCGTAATACCGATGGATCTGTGGCCATAGCCAGAGCTAGTTGTTGTCTTTGGACGTTCTGCAGGTGCTTGACGGCCATTTCTAGAATGTCGGCTTTTTCTAATTTTGAGTGTCTGGCGGGCTGCAACGACAAATAATATATAAATAATATAAATCAAGGAAAATAAAATTTCTTACATCTTTGTTCATGGCTTCGAGTATTAGAGTTTTGATTTCGTTTAGGCACTGGTTGATTCGGGCCCTCCGTCGTTTTTCCATGATGGGTTTGTGGGTCTAGTGAAATTGTATTAAATGGGTGTTAAATACATAAATTTAAAAGTGCTTACTTTTCTGAGCTCTGCTTTCGACATGCTGACAGGTTCTTGAGGCGACCGAATCTCGTATTCGTCCTCACTTATGGGCATAGTTATTTCCGGCAGGATTCACCGACTCTGTAACAATGAAGTATATTTAATTGGAGTTTTAAATTGATAAATACTTTTTCTGGGGAAACTCTTTTTTCATAATGTGGTTTCATTTATTTTTAACTGAGCGAAAATGAATGTGAAGGCGAAATTTATAATCCCTGAGTATTTATGTCCTTTACCTGCGGAGGTGGCGCTTTGTACCTGTTTTTTAATGTCCCAACCTGTCGTATTATATTAAATTATTGTGTATCTACCTGTTTGTACATTTTCAATTTTGCAGGCTGTCAACACAGAAAGTTAAAAATGAAAGTTGATGTTTCATTTATGTTAGATTACGGTTCAATGTAACATTAAACATTTTTAACTAGTAATATTTATTTCAAGTATTGTATTGTTGTGGATATTATGCTTAATTTTGCTTAGAATTAATACTTGCATAATATGAAAAGTTGGAAAATGCTTAAACCTGCTTTAAAAATATTTCAGAATATTTTTACCAGACTGAAAACGTTTTAGACCAGTTTTAGACCACCTACTAGATTTAAATATACACTACTGTTACTATTGGTATTACATTGCACCTATTCAAACTGATATATGATGTGTCATCACAAAATTTTATTATGAGAAAACTCACTTGAAACATACGCACAACATGCTTCTTTACGTATTTTAACAGTTCGCACATCTTTATTTAACTTAGAAAAAAAACTTACAATTCGCAAAATTTGAATTATTTTTCGAAGAATCTATTTGTTCGCCTGTATTTCAGGGCCGAGGAAAGCTCTGTCAGAATAACTTTAGAACAATTTTTTTTTGGTTATATATTTTCTTAGTCTATACTATTTGTATATATTTTCGTGTTTGCAAAATATGGCGTTAACAGCCTGAGTAGGCCTTTTAATAGAAAAACTTATTGAAATATAAAATGATTAATTATGAAACCAAATAAATTATTCAGAAATTTTATATACTCTAATAAGATGTCTTTATTATTATTGTTAAAAATAAACAAATTTCCTAACATAATTTGAGTTCTGTTCTACCTATGTTATAAATTTCACGAGAAGAATATTCCATCAAGCAAAAAATTTCACTAAATTAATTGTCTGCCGCTAATTTATCCTCATTTGCATTTGGAATAGCTAACGTTCATGCAATCCTAAATCGATAGCGCTTAATGAATCCGTCATTTTCGAATACTAAACACCTCCCTAATTTATTGACATTTAATCCATCACGCATGATTATAATAGGTATAATCGACATTCACAAGAACTGTCATGGCACATGGCTGCGGGCCACCTGTTCACCAAACGTCAATTGCAGAACACCAACAATCCAAAATAATAATCTGCAATTACTCGTGTGAAAATCAATACCAAAAATTCGTTTCAACGTCTCTTATTTCGAAAAATCCTAGTGAAAATATTTACATTGTAATTTGCGTCTTGCACATTTTGTTTTGATTCTTTTGGGGAACCCTTTCATTAATGCCGTACTGGAATAAGTGACTTTATTAAGATAATAAATTCATGAATTATTAAAACGGTAACCTATCCTGTATACTCTAAAATGTTTGAGACTTAAGAAAAACAAGCTTAAGAGTTGGTTAAAAATCATCCAAGCTCCAGAAACTTCTAGACCATTAGACTGCACACGTGTTTATTTGTATAAATAAAGAAAGTAATGTTCCGCTGTCATTCGTATAAGCTAACCCAACAGATTACCTAAGTAGGTTTTGTCTCAAGACTCAGCTTTGATGATGTTCATGCACAGTAATTAGGCACAGAGTGTGGAAGATAGATAATCATAGTGAGCTCACTCAGGACTGGCTTCAGGCTTCCGTGCGCCCTAAGACAATATCAAACGGGATTTCCGGAAATCTCGACGAGTCGTAGACGGATATTTCTCCGGTATAAAACAAAACAGACGACAAAGCAGACTCGGATAAAAATCGCGTTTCAAATAAGTTTTAAGCTACAGTGATACTGAGTCAAAATTCAACAGTTACTTATTAGAACTGCAGAAAATTAGTGTCAAAAGCATTCAGATCCTATACTAAATTAGACCGTTGATAGTCATTTTATTCGTAACACAACAATTTTGTTTTTGTGGAGATGATTTTTGACAATTTCATCGAAAAATCACAGTAACTTAAATTATAATACAATTTATGCAACCTAAGTTTGCTATATATTTTGACATATTCTCATTAGCCTCTTCCTAGGCTTTATAACTACATTTATGTGTGAAATTCCGATGCGACGTTGCCACGTTATTCCAATTTTCTTGAAATTTTTTGGCAATGGAAGCACTAAAAAACAAATCGCAATAGGGTTATAAGTATGTCTTTCAATATTTTGTGGAAGAATTTGTCTATTTATTCTCTTGAAGAAATCGATGACGTCATATTTTTTATTTTAGCTGTGCTAGTTGTCTTACACAAGATAAGTTCAGGCAAAATATTTTTCTTCCGTTTTGCTCTTAATCTAATTTAACAAAAATTTATTTATTAATTTCTCTAGAAAGTTGCTAACGTCATCCCAAAAATTATTAAACAAATATTACCGAAAAAATACTATGAGATAACGCATTGTTTTCGATGATCTTTTATTCCTAAAGTTTCTGCACAAGAAATCCGAAAATATTTAGTGTCAGAAAGGAGTTATTTAGTAGATTGCGGCTTATTTCATTTTCTTTCACACAACATAAACTTAATTAAGACTCCATTAAAGTTATTAATAGAGAAAAAACATAGAGGTAATCAGCTGATTTTGTTTATCATCCAGGAGTGGGGAGAATCGATGACATGTATGTAACGCTCAGCAGTCGATAGAGTGAGATCAGGGACTGCTTTATTTACTGTTTTTATATCTTATGTCTATTCTTGTTAAAAAAGTGGTTACCAGATGTACTTGTTTATTTACCCAGAGATAATCTTAGGGAAAAAGTGGAGTGGAGTCCTTCTGACGAAAATCTGATTTCTTGTGTTGTTCAAATTTATTTACTAATTCCTTACTAAAAATTTATTTGTTACGTTACACACACAAATTGCCTTGAAAAAATATGTCTGTATGTACTAAAAAAATTTACAGTTAGCTTATCTTAAAATTACAAAGCATCACTTTTAGAAATTTTTATTTATTTTATTTTATTTTATTTTTATTTAATTACGTCGATAAGATACGAGTACTAACAACGGTTTAAGGAATTCAAACATTTATTAAATATTTATTTTTATGTACTTAGGTATAACAATTCATAAAAGTATTAATAAATCGTTACACTTATTTTAAAATAGAAGACAAAATCGAAATAAATTCCGTAGAAAACGTACGTCAGAAAAAAAAAACAAAAACACGCACCATCAAAACTATAACAAACTTCCCTTAACTCACCCTCACTCGTTTTTTTCCAAAAAAAATACAACCAAAAAATCAACAATCAAGCACAACACTAAACACAATTAACCCGCAAACCCACTTGTCCCGTTCTTGTCTCTTCGGCGCAAAGCCCGAATTCCGTCTGAGGTCCACCGCAATATTTCGGATGTTCAACCCCAAGAGGGTCACTTAGGTGACTATTGGGAATGATCGGCGCTCCAGTGGTATACATTCCGATAGAGCGTGGGAATGGGCCGAATCCGTCCCCCCACTCCTGCAAGACATGCCGCTGGTCGGAACACCCCATCGCCCTTCAAGGGTAAAATAGCTCGGAGTTCCCACGCGTTGAGGTGCCTCAGACATGGGAAATAACTGTTTATGGCACTCGGACTCGCACCGGCGTGTGGCGGAGGCCGACAGAGAGAGAAGCTTGATGGACGGACGGATGGGTGCTTTTTGCCCATGCAGAACGGGGTTTTGTGCTTTTCTTGGGAAAAGCCGGCTTTTGGGAAAATTGCGGGCCTGGATTAGGCAGGGAGAGGTGATGGATGGAGCGCGATTACCTGTTATGTAATTTTATTACGTGACCTTTTGGACTGAGGTCACTGGGAGTTCTCACAGTGGAAGTGGAACCGGATCTGAACTGGGATTTTATGCTGAATATGTTGGGTGTGAAAACTTATGTTTTCTAAGCAAAAATGTCGTAAAAATCAATTTATTTTGAAAGTAAAATTTCTAGGGCAATAAAACCGGTTTAATAGGTTAAAGTCAAGGTTATTATTCTATCAACACTAAATTATTTTAAAATGAACTTTAACCAAACCAAAAAAGACAGCCGTCTGTCGTTTGTTGGAAATTTTACTAGACACATAAATTCTTAGAGTACTGAAAAGGTAGTCAAAATCCACACTTTTATCCCTTCCAAAAACTTAATAATGTCCGTCGTCTCAGTGTGAAGTAAAGTAAAAGTTTGAAGTTTAATTATGAACTGGGCGTTTATTTATGGTTTACAGAATCTTTAAAAAGATCGTCGGATTCATACACTAGAAGTACAGAATTATGTTGTTTTATAAAACTTGTATAGTTTTTACTAAGCAAAACATTGACGTGACGTCATTAAATTGTTAGTGGGGACGACTAGACTAGTTAACGTTTTAGCATCTACATCTTCCTAAAGCACATTTAACATCTAACAACAATCACTTCGGTAGTTTCGGAGATTATTTGTCTAATAAAGTAAAACTCGACACATGAAGTAACCGTTCACCGGATGGATCCTATTAAAATACAACCCTACTTCTTTTTGATAGTTGCTGCACTTCAAAGGCGAGGGAAGTTCTATACAATTAACTGAACCTGGGAAAAATTTCAGTAAACATAAAAAAACACCGCTAAGAAATAGCCATTATATTATATACATAGTCCATGAGAATTTAACTTAATTTAACTGATCATTTTTCTTTTCGATTTTTTAAATATTTCATCGATTAGTCATATTGCCAATCAATTATAATCATCAAAATGTACCGAAAAATCTGTCAAATTAATTCCGATATAGCCTGTAGATCGTCAAGAAAAGGTTTTCACGGAAGTGTAAGTTTACTTTACGACATCATGCTTTGTTTAAAACTTCAAAGTAAGAGAATTAATGGGATATAAACTTTATAATCGTTATAAATTAGGATGGTGCAAGGCTTGAACAAATACTACATTAGATTTATTAAATTTCACCAAAATTTACTCCCCTTTAGATAGAGATAACTGAACCATATTTTTAGATGCGTCTGATTTTAAATTCTTCTCACAAATCTCTGCAAATTAGCTGTATTAAACACAAGAACATATAGTTTTCTGCTAATTAAAATTGATGCTGATGCAGTTGTTCTAAATTATAAAACTAACCTGAGTAATTAACAATTTATTATAAAATTCCACATAACTCTTCCTTTAAAAATTATCAAGTAAACTACAACTGAAAGTGCGATATGCATAACGAAAACATAAATATTTTGCAGGAGTAAATCCACAAGACAGTCAGAACAGTCGACGAGAACTCGAGTTACGATTTTAGAAGAGACTGTAAAATCTGCTTCAAGCCATATGTTTTCTAACTAGTAGGAACGGCAGCTTCGTTGTTCCCGCCCCAAAAGTACAAAAAATAGCTCTCCCGTTTCCGCCTATCTGTTTGTCTGCTGTGTGCCGTCTCTCCAAATTTTGATTCGACAAACAATCTCCGAAACTACAGGACTAATTGTTCTCAAATTTTACATGCATATAAGGAATATTGTGTAGATGGGAAAGCGCGAACCCAAAGAATTTTAGTACTAGTAGTTCTTAACATAAATCTGCGATTAATACTCTATAAAACTAGAAACTCAATGTTTTCCTCTCAAATAAAGCTATTTGGAACGATTTAAAAATTTTCTGGAAATTTTGGGGATTTTTGGAGTCCTTTTCTGGCATTTCTCAATTATTTGGAGACAAATCGTCAAAAATATTTTAGATTCGTAATCTGTAAAAAATTATATATAAGCCAACTATTTTCCATTTGGTAAGATCGTCTTTTAACTGTTTCAGACAAAAAATTTTTAGAAATTGCGAAAAATGTTTCTCACTTTTCTCGCTAATTTTCGGAAATAGTTGAAAAATGTTAAAAGTGCGAAAATCAGTTTTATCTTATTAAATACTAGCCCCGCCCACCCACCCTCTATTTTCTTAGAGGATATGTTATTTGCCAAAATCAGTCTTATCTTAGCAAGTACTAGCCCCGCCCGCCCTCTATTTTCTTGGAAGATATGTGTTTTGCCAAAATTAGTGTTATCTTAACAAATATGTACTATTTAATTATTGTTTAATAATTTATTTAGCCATTTCATCAATAGATGTGTAATATAGTACTTGCTAAGATAAGACTGATTTTGGCAAATGACATACCTCCTAGGAAAAATACAGGGCGGGTGGGCGGGCCTAGTACATGCTAAAGTAAGACTGATCTTGGCAAATGACATATCCTACAAGGAAAGAGAGGGCGGGTGGGCGGGGCTAGTATTTGCTAAGAAAAAAACTGATTTTAGCAAATAACATATTCCCTAAGAAAATAGAGAGAGGGTGGACGGGGCTAGTACTTAAAATTTTCCTTATCAACGTGATTTAAATTTTATAAAATAATATACTCCTGTACTTGTACTTTTACTATTTGTAGAAGAATCCACATCGATTATGTTTATTATTACTTTTTTTATTGTTTAAATCTTGTTTTCCTTTACTCACATAATATATGTACGTAGTTAAACCTGATTAGTAGTTGTAGGGAGGAGTTCTGCTTTGTACATGGAGAGTCCCAGGTTCGATACCCGCCGGCGTTTCCATTTTTATTGATAAAATTAGGAAGAGTATACACAATTTTGTCGACAATTTAAGAATACAGCTTTGAATTGACATATGTGTCCTTGTCAAAATATTTCTCGGAATATTTTCCAAAAGGAAAAGTTACTTGAAACGTGGTTTAACCTTGTGTTATATATATTTTCTAGCGCCGCGAATTTTATACGTGCTCAACCGTCGAATTCTTTTAATGTATAAACATAAACAGTCGAAGTTAAGTATGTATTGATAACATGCGGTTTTAGATCTATTTATTATTTACTAAATTTTTATCCACCAAATTTTAGTTTTCTATACATATCTTGCACGTACCAAATGATATTAAAGAAAAATGTATAAAATAGAGATATTTAAATAATGTGAGCGAGCAGGTTTTAACAATAAAATAATACTATTTTAAACAAAGAAAATATAAAGTTAAATAAATCTGTAGGTCTGTAGAACTTAGCTCTACTTAAATACAAAATTTATATATATCTAAATCGAACGTCAAACAAGTCCTTTATTAAGCATACCTAAATTTTCTTAAAAAGTGAAGACAGATTTTTTTGTAGAAAAATGTCAGTATTATTATATTATTTATATCAACTAAAACAAATAAAATATATTACCACTGCTACATAAAAAAATTGGCCAAAAGTTGTTTCCACAGAACTTTCCTCGCTCCTAGAGCACAATGAATATCCAGCATTTTAGAGTTGAGTTTTTCTTTACACAATTTTGTAGCCCTCAGATAGTGACGTAAAATTTACAAAAGTTCTGCTCTCAAAGTGTTAAAAGATTAGGATGATCGGATCCTCATGTTTTCTCGACTTGTTATAACCCGTAGAGTACGAAAAATAGGTCTCCCGTTTCCGTTTGTCTGTCTGCTCGCCGGCTATGCCTGTTTAATCATCATACTAACAATGTGATGACGTCACCAGGGCCGGTTTAACACGGTAAGCGAAAGATGCACCGCATCGGGGCGCCCATGACAAAATAGGTCATAAAAAGTCAATTCCTGACACTTTCTGACTGTAATAATTGAAAAAGAGTGCGCCTTTTTGGACTTTTAGATCAATACCGACAAAAAATACCAGATTTATGATTGCCATTATCTGGGTAACAATTTGACGAGACCGCGGTATGACCAAAAGCAGATGTTTTTCTAACATTTGTCACGTTTGTTGGTACCATAAAACTCCTTGGCGGCACAAACTTAAAAATTTTATTTTCCAAGTCTAGTCGGCTGGTTGTGGTGGTTGTTCAGTTTTATTATATTTTTCACTGTTCCGATTCGTAGTCGAATTTGGTTCTGTGTATTATTCCGTGGCTCTTTGTCTTCACTAATGTTAAATTTTAATTTCGAATAACATTGAGGTAAGTCTAAATTAAAAATAACTTTGAAATCGTATCAATTTTACAATATTAATAAAAATTGAAAATTTTTTGTAATGTAAAGATTTTTATACTTATTGGCTGGATTAGGATACGTCATTTTTCGTCTCCCCCCCAGAGACATCCAGATTTTGAAAAAAAAAATCAACAATGTGTAACAAAATTTTGCAATTTAATTTTGAAGCTGCAAAACCGAATGCACTAAAATTTTGCAAACGTTTTAAGGTTATCATAAGCTTGGTTCGTCAATCAAAATATATCCGTTTGCTGCTTCCCAAAATATGGATGACGTCTCTCAAGAATGGCTCAAAACATTTTGCTGAAAATTTTATAAATTTGGACCAATTTTTTTAATAAAACCTAAATATGCTCGCTACGCTCGCCTTCTAAAGGCTCTTTCTTTAAAGTTTAGTTTCAGATATCTTCAAGAAAGTGTTTTAGTGAAATTGTTTGGGATCGTTTATAATAATAATTTTGTAGATTTTCGAAAATTCATCCTTAGAATACGAGCGCAGTGAGCTTGACTTAGGGTCAACAGTGAATTATTTTTAATAACACCTACACATGCTCGCTGCGTTCGCATTCTAAGCGATTTCTTTTTGCATTTTACTCTCATGAAAATTAAAATATAAATGATATATTACTGAAATGGTATTAAACCCGACTTAAAGAAATAAATACGGCTTCTAATGCAATGGAAGAAGCATCAGTTTTTAAAATAAAATTGATATTTTCTGCAAAATTTGGATACTGTAAAATTGGTGGTTTTACTAAAGCATTTTTCAATGTTTCAGAAGAATTTTGACATGCCACGTTCCAACTAAATTGCATATTTTTCTTGCTTAATCTGTTTATTGGCGCCGCTGTATTAGCAAAATTTTGTCAAGTTTTATTTTTGTAAAGTTTTTTCTCTTCTTCGTTCCCTATTTTTTCTCAAAACAATAGGATAATGCTTCAAACATATTTCATTCCGTAATTTCTTGTAGAGAAATATGGACTTTACGGTTAAGCTCCACCCCTCAGTCTCACGACGAATAAAAAAATTAATCACAATTGAGACGGGCCGGATGGGTGTGGCTTATCCATTTCAATAGTAAAATACTTAAAATATCAAATGGTGAAAAATAGCAGCTTGTTTTATTAATAATGTTGTCCTAAAAAAATAGTCGAAAGTTGTTTCGACAGAACTTCCCTCACTCCTGAAATGCAATGATAATTTTTTTTGCGTCACCTGTATACGCAAATCCAAAAAATATTAAAGGAATGATAAATCACAAGTATTGTCTTATCATATTTTATACATTTTAGACACGATTTATTCGGCAAACTTTTGAGTTGACTCACTTCATCAATCTTTTGGAGGGGATGAGCAAATATATTTTGACTAAAAATTTATTATGCTTTTTATTTATAACCTTAAAACATCGGTAAGATTTCAACGCATTCGGTTTAGCAGATTCAAAATGAAATTACAAAATGTTGTTTTATGATTTTGATTTTTTTTACAAAAATTGGAAAGTACATGTGTAGCACTATGGTATTTTGTACAATTTGAAACCCATTTACTGTGGACAATTTTAAAGTAACGTCATCACATTATTGGTGGGTATGATTAGACAAATTTTGTCATATACATGATGTTCTTACGAGACGGCAGACGGACGGACAGACAGATAGACAGACAGACAGACAGACGGAAACGGGAAACCTATTTCTTCGTATTGTAGGGGTCGAGAAAGGTCGAGAAAACGTAAAAGTAGAGAGTCGGTCGACGGACTCGATTACAATACTTCCTTTGCTTACGCTCGGGAAGTAAAAACTAAAACTATTTCTTCTGATTTCACATTTGTGGTGAAATCCCATTCAATTTTCCTAGATTAACTTGCAGATACGAGAGAAAAGAGAGAAAAAGTAGTCTTCATGCTCATGTTTCATGTATCTTCACTAGGGTGATTCAAAAAAAAAAAATAATTTTTTTTTTCGTGTCAAAGAGGTTCAAAAGTTTCTTTTCAACGTAAAAAAATACCAGTTAAAAGTTGAGCTCTTAATATTAATATTAAGACCGTCCGCATCGCGTTTTTCTATTTCCCATAAGAATAACATGGGAAAATTTTTGTTTGCACCTTCTGATTTTTATTGCTAGCCCGTCGTGTGTCATGAAAAAAATTCAATCACATATTTTTATAGAGAATTGAACGCTCTACAAAAAGTGTCTCCTATGATTTTGCGAGAAACCTGACTATGATTTTTTAACCCACTGATGCTGAAAATGTTCGGAAAGAGTTTTACTGGCCTTATTATAGCATAAAATTATAAACAATTACTGTTTAAAAAACTAAATTTAAAATGTGTATAAATTTTTGTGGTGATTTATTCCAATAAGACCATCAAATTTATTGTAATGCATCAAAAACGTCAAAATTTGGATAAATTTAACTTTAGCCTACAATAACTCTTCAACTATCAGGTTTCTCGCACAATCATAGGAGACACTTTTTGTAGAGCGTTCAATTCTCTGTAAAAATATGTGATTGAATTTTTTTCACGACACACGACGGGCTAGCAATAAAAATCAGAAGGTGCAAACAAAAATTTTCCCATGTTATTCTTATGGGAAATAGAAAAACGCGATGCGGACGGTCTTAATATTAATATTAAGAGCTCAAATTTTAACTGGTATTTTTTTACGTTGAAAAGAAACTTTTGAACCTCTTTGCACGAAAAAAAAAAATTATTTTTTTTTTTTGAATCACCCTAATCTTCACGATGACTACATTTCCTACTTTTTAATTACAAAGATAAGTATAGGTTCGAACTAATCATCTGTTACATTTTTCTATAACAAACTACCGCTTGTAATTATTTCTTGTTCAACAAAAACATAACGCAAAAATAATCCGTTATAAATAACCGATCTGACTCATTTCCGACTAATTCTGTAACGAAGGTTACTCTGTTATTGATAAAGTTCTACTAAATACTTTTATTAACGGCTTAATAGAACCCACAGCTAAATACAATTTGATTGCAAGGTTCTATGAATTAATTAGTGGGCAACGTAAAATTACTGCTCCGGGTTTCTAGGTATATATTGTCCAACAATGCTTCACTTTCAGTTTGTGAAAATATCGAAAACATGAAGACTATAATACTTATTTCAGCTCTACTGGTTTCAGCAAACGCTGTAGATAATTTCTGCTAAATGTAACTTACGCAAACTACAGTGACTTTTTTTAGGTTGCTATTGAAGATATCATAGACGAATTAGAAGAAGTTGGAAAAATGTGTGCAGAACGGGAAGGTGCTACCGAAGGTAGGTAAAGGTATAAGCTGATTCTTTCTCTACTGGTTGTTTTTCCAGCTGACATGGTAGATTTAGAAGAAGAAAATTTCCCTCCAAGTCGGCACGCTGCTAAGTGTGTAATTGCTTGCTTCTACGAACACTACAAAATTGTAATAATTTTAATTTTTGCAAAATGAGTTCTTAATGTTTTTTCTAGATGAGGGTGGATGGCACATTTAACAAACAAGTTATCAATGGAGTATTTAGTGAGCTGAAAGCCGAAAATGAAGAGCTATACAGACAAGTTATGAAGATTATAAATGTCTGCTACGACAAACGTAATTATTTAGTTAGTTTATTGTTTTGATATCAAGAACACTATTTTTAGCAAATATTGTTTCCAATGATCGATGTGAAACTGCTTCGGCAGTGGCCACGTGTATAAAAAGAGGTGCAGATGCCGTAAGGATGATTTATTATTAATTTTTTAAATTATTAAATTTATGAGTTTTTAGGTGGGGTTAAATCTGGAGTCGTTCATGACGGACTAAAAGGTGTTTCTATTGATTGACTTTTCGATTTTACGATTTCTTTTTTTATACTTGTACTTATTTTTTTCAAATAAATGTAATATTGTGTAGTAGAAGTAGATTTGACGAGCATTGTTTCCGTTTTTTCTTTATAGATAGAAGCGAGCACTCATATTTCCCTCAAATATAACAGGTTAAATAGAAAAAAAATGTTCTAAATTTTTGAACACATTCTTTCGTAAATTACTTTAATTTAATTTAGTTCTAATACTTTATTATGTAAATAAAATTTTTATCTGTATCAGCTTTAATTCTAAGTATTAAATTTCAAGCAACTAATAAATAAAGTAAGTAATTAAAACAGTAAAGTATAATGTTATAGATATTACAACAGTTTTAACTTTTTGACGCTAATATAATAATTAAATACAATCGATTACCTTATATATTTTGTAGATTTAAAGCTATTAACACTTATATTCGATATGAAAATATCCTTTCATATGATTAACTATATAAAAACCTGTAATGTAATCTTTAATGACGTTTTGAACTTTTAACCTTTCCGAATTTGTTAAGTAGTTACTAGAGTATGAAACAGTAGGTCCCCCTGTTTTGGTCTGTCTATCGTCTCTCTGGTGAAAAACAATAACCACAATTATGCTTTCATCCCTACCAAAAATTTCTCATAATTTTGCTGTAAATCCTGAAATGAGCAAATACGAGTAATACAGTGTTAGAAAGTGCAAAATTGATTGATCCGAAATTTAGTACATGCTTTAAGGCCGTCAGAAATGTGATAAATCGATTTATAGGTACATCTCTTCAAAAAAAATTCATTATGTCATCTCAAAATTTTGACAAACAAATGTCAGAAAAAATATGCAGAATATCTTCTATATAGGTAGCTTTTTAACACATTTTTACTAGAATTATGTATAAAAAATGTTACAAAATTTCATTAAGAAAACCTTACATGAAACGCTCTGCGTGTTTTTATTTTAAGAGACAGGGGTTGTCACAAAAAATCAAATTAGTGAAATAAAATTTTACACATTATATAAAAACTTAACTGATTTTATTGTACTAAGTGGCCGGGGGGCATTTTTAAATAGAACTAGCTATAACAGTGTGTAACAATAATAATAATAATAATAATAATGATAATGATTGTTACTTTCGTTTGAAGAATAAGAACTGAAAGTCTGTTAACCAATATGTTGAATTTTTAACAAATGTCTAGAATTTGTTTAGTCAAAAAACGTAGATATACAGGGTGTTATTGAAAGGTACGTACAACAAAATTGACAGTTATTCTCGAAGTCTAAGAAGTCTGAAAAACTTACTTTGTGTTATCAGAATTATAAAGGGAAAATTAACCCTTATCCAACAATTTTAAACGCTACTGAAGTTAATTTATTTTAGTGAATCCTAGCAACTTTAACAATCAAAATTTTGTCAAGACTAAATGTTGCTATAGAAATGAAAGATGATCTTTTTATCATAGACGTACAACGAATTTCGACATAACTTTTAATAATTTTTATCTCTAAAAGGAGAACACTTTTACCTGAACTTTTTTTTCCTTTTAGCACTCCTACTTCGAGACCAATTGCCGATTTTATTTTGTACGTACCTTTCAATAACACGGTGTAGAGCAACTAAAGCAGTGATGTTATTAAACATGGAATTGCATTGTGAAGTATTTAATTAATTTAATTAAGATTGATGCATTTTCATTACTATATGCAATTGCTGAATGCCACTCTAACATAAATTACACATCTGCTTCTTAATGACTTTATAAGAATGGGTATCGATTGCGAAAAGCTATAAAATTAAATACATTTTAATCGACGTAATTTTTATTTTTTCACTTAATTAGCGGAAAACATCAAAACCTATCAAGATCAGCAATCTATATATACAACCATCGAACATGTTTTTTTTTAGTTACCAAAAAACCCGAACAAAATGAAATCCTTCATAATTTTGACCCTATTGTGTGCGGGCACTAATGCGGTAATTAAAATTTCGAAATTTTTGTTTCCTTAACATAACGCAAAATTTTTAGATCAGCACCGAATTTTTTGAAAAAGTTATGAATGAACTGCATGCAGTAGCTATGGCTTGCGTAAAACAGGAAAGCGCTACGGCCAGTGAGTTTTATATAAACTGCTGGAATTTTTACTAAAGTTTTATATTTTTAGACGACATGGTGGAACTTATGGTGCATAAGTTCCCTCCAAGCACCCACGAAGCAAAATGTGTTATAGCTTGTTTTTACGAGCACTACCATATGGTGATTGCTTTTATTTTTCGATTTTGTATAAAAAGTTTTTTTTAGATGACACCAGAAGGTACTTTTGATAAACAGGCAACAATTGACGCTTTTAACCCCCTCAAATCTGAAGATGCAGACTTATATGACAAAATGTTGAAAATTGTAGATACCTGTCAGGAAAATCGTGTGTTTTCACTTTTTTGTAATATTTTTTGTTAAATACAAAGTTTTAGCACAAATTTTTGAAGATAGATGTGAAACTGCTTCCGCAATGGCCGTTTGTGTTAAACAACAGGTAGAGGCTGTAAGTATGACATATACTAAACTAGAAATTTTTTTACCTGATTTGTGGTTTTAGCTTGGCTTAACCAGTAACTCAATAATCCAAGCTTAATACTCTTTAGGATCTGCGTGTTTATGACTTTGGCTTTGATTTTATTTTTATTTAGTATCTCGAGACAATATAGTTGACGAACATTGTGATGTTTTTTATTACCAACAAAACTAATCTTTCCACCATAAAGATTATATCTTGGATCAGTTATACTATAATCTAGCCAGTGTTATTTATCCTCAAATCATAGGGTGGTTATGGATCAGAGTCAAATTTTTCCTCATGTAGATGGCTTGTCGTAACTTTTTGGAGACAAAGAGCTTAGTAGTTTCATCACCAACAGCTATGTCCTCTAAGCAACAGGCAAAAATTACCACTGTATTTGGTCTTTCCATTTGCCCGTTGTTGGCGACGAATTGCAGATTTGATTTCTTTTGGAAGAATTAGGTGAGTTGTCGAGTCCTATTTGAGAGCTTCTCTACAATCTGTCTGGCCTCATGTATTTCGCGCTTTTTGCGAGAGCTTCGTTATAGGAGCCCCAGTATATCGGTCTTGGACGTGCGAGAGTAGTTCATTTTAACATTGATGAAAACATTATGTTTTATTGGTCCTGCAATTATTTCATACTTTCGGCAAAAAGACTTTTCTCTGTGATGCTATCAACTCAAAAAAACTTTTTTTTTTTAGTGACAGGGTAACAAATTTTTACTAGAAAAATTAAATTAAAGCATGAATAAAAAATACTCCTCATAATAACATTAATCGACATTGCTATTCCATTTCTCTTGGTTTATTTTTCAATAAACTAATGCCTTTTTCAAAATTTAGAAAGAAGAATTCGAAATGGAAATCTAAGAAGACCTGTGTAACAACCTATGGCATAATCAAAAACAAATGAATTTTGTATTCTTTGAAATGACACATATTTTTAATACTGGAAAAACTGATATGGTTGTCTTTTATTGCAACCGATTATCTTCAGTTTTTTGTTTTGTTTTGAAAGGTTTAGTCATCAGGAAATAGTAGGATTCTATTTCTAGAGAACGTAACAAACAAATCGTTCATATATTGTGATAAAATGTAAGATTGGACCCTTGTGGCACTCTTAACGTAAGTGATTATTTATTTTTTCTGACGGTTAAGTTGGATTTATAGCTACTCCGCAAACGAAAACTCGTTCCTTAGTTTAGCAGCGCAACAGTTTCAGGAATCTATGACCATGACATATCTTAATGCAATGTGTTTTTTCTGTCAAATTCGAGAATAATAATTAATTTTTCACAAACATCACAAACAATGAGACTATTTAAATTTTAATGCTAATAAAATTAATAGACAGTGTTTTAGTCGGAGGGAAAATAATTTCTTTAGTATTTAATATTAATGCAATAAAACAAATACATTGTCGTCATGTAGTAAAAATTTATACATTTTAAGAAATACATGTGAATTTCAATTTTTTTTTTAAATTTTGAAACCCTGGAAAAAATGATTGGCATTGAAAAATACATGCGGTGTATGAATTAAAGTGTATGAAATAGGCTTTCATTAATCAGTGATTTGACCATTACACCTCCACCCAATTCCCTCTGTACAGCAGAATTATAGACTTTCAAGTGTAGATATCCAATCCGATCATAAAGCATCCAACCGAACGCAAAACCCGCTTTTGTGACCAAATCTAATTGGTTTATCCTTTGCATGTTATTGCCTGGCATAACGTTACAGTAACGTAGGATCATGCTCGTCTCAGTGATAAATGCGTCCACAAACTACATCCTTTAGAATGTTGAATCTTTTATCAGTTTAAATGTTTTAATTTTTTGTTTTTTAAGACAATTTCATTTTATTGTAACATTAATCTTTCTGTACAATAAAGCACTATTTAAGGGGAAATAGTTATATAACTTTGATTTTTTTTTCAAAAATTTGGACATCTCGGGTAAAAACTCAAACGGATTCATAGAGTACAGGTGTAGGACTTTGTTATTTTATACAATTTAAAACCCATTTACTATGTACAATTTTAAGGTGACGTCATCACATTGTTGGTGGGGAAAATTAGACAAGGTTTGGTAAGCCTATTTTTATTATCTACATGATATACATAATGTACATATAAAATTTTAGAACAATCGGTCCGGTAGTTTCGAAGATTATCTGTCTAAGAAAAAATGACACAGACGACGGACAGGCAGACACAAACGGGAGACCTATCTATCTGTGGCCAGTCGTCCGATGAACCCGATTACAATACTTCTTTAAATAACACAAAAATCTATTAGTAGACACAGTTTTTTTGTTTGATTATTCGCTGTTCTGTATATGGGGATAATACTGTTAACATCGTTCTTGAATAATGCAGAACAACAAAATCTGGAATAAAGTTCCAACAATATATTGTTTATATCAAATTTTATTGGTGACTGGTGAAGTTTGATATCACTGTAACATAATAGATAAAATGCGGAACTTTGCAAATAATAATAACTTAATAAATTGACAAATCAGTAAATTTAGTAAATTTTTAATAATATGTGTATTTATAGCAAGCAATGGTAAATAAATAAATATTGCTGATATTGATTTAGTTTGCCTTTACGTATGTAGATTTCTCATGCATATATATGATTTTTTCAAGCATTCTAAAATTATTTATTTTTTTATAAATTTATCAAAGTTAGTTCTAACAGTTTTTTACTTCCCGAGCTTAATCTTTGTTTTTTTTTTATTTTGTAGAATTTTCTTTCAACAACAAGATAGTTAAACATGTTTCCAGTTTCTTGTTCGGAAAAGAAGACTTCTTATATTACGAAAAAATGAACAAAATATATGCCCCGCCCACCCACCCCTTCTCAATTGTGATGAATATTTTATTCATCGTGAGCTGAAGGGTGGAGTTTAGTTGCAAAATCCTCATTTCTCTAGAAGAAATTATCATATGAAATATGTATGTTTTTAAAAGGGGTAGAATTTTTTAGAGAAATATTGATATTGGAATTAAACTCCGTCCTTCGGTCTGATTAGGAATGAGAATTTCATCACAATTGTTATCGGGGCGGGTGGGTGGGGCTTAATTTTTGTTTATTTTTTTTAACATATAGAATTTTCTTTCAACAACAGGCTAGGCACCTAAATATATTGTCTGTTTCTTGTTAGGAAAAGAAGACTTGCATGTTAAGAAAAAAAAGACCAAATATTAGCCCCGCCCACCCACCCCTTCTCAAATGTGATGAATGCTTTATTCATCGTGAACTGAAGGGCGGAGTCTAGCTGCAAAATCCTCATTTCTCTACAAGAAAGTACCATATAAAATATGTATGTTTTTAAAAGGGGTAGAATTTTTTAGAGAAATATTGATGTTACAATTAAACTCCGTCCTTCGATCTGATTAGGAATGAAAATGCTTAATTTTTGTTTATTTTTTTTAACATATAGAATTTTCTTTCAACAACAGGCTAGGCACCTAAATATATTGTCTGTTTCTTGTTAGGAAAAGAAGACTGCATGTTAAGAAAAAACTGACCAAATATAAGCCCCGCCCACCCACCCCTTCTCAAATGTGATGAATGCTTTATTCATCGTGAACTGAAGGGCGGAGTCTAACTGCAAAATCCTCATTTCTCTACAAGAAATTACCGTATAAAATATGTATGTTTTTAAAAGGGGTAAAATTTTTTAGAGAAATATTGATGTTACAATTAAACTCCGTCCTTCGGTCTGATTAGGAATGAAAATTTCATCACAATTGATATCGGGGCGGGTGGGTGGGGCTTAATTTTTGTTTATTTTTTTTTAACATATAGAATTTTCTTTCAACAACAGGCTAGGCACCTAAATATATTGTCTGTTTCTTGTTAGGAAAAGAAGACTTTGCATGTTAAGAAAAAATTGACCAAATATAATCCCCGCCCACCCTCCCCTTCTCAAATGTGATGAATGCTTTATTCATCGTGAACTGAAGGGCGGAGTCTAGCTGCAAAATCCTCATTTCTCTACAAGAAATTACCATATAAATTATGTATGTTTTTAAAAGGGGTAGAATTTTTTAGAGAAATATTGATGTTACAATTAAACTCCGCCCTTTGGTCTGATTAGGAATGAAAATTTCATCACAATTGAGATCGGGGCGGGTGGGTGGGGCTTAATTTTTGTTTATTTTTTTTTAATATATAGAATTTCCTTTCAACAACAGGCTAGGCACCGAAATGTATTGTCTGTTTCTTGTTAGGAAAAGAAGACTTTGCATGTTAAGAAAAAATTGAACAAATATAAGCCCCACCCACCCACCCACCCCTTCCCAAATGTGATGAATGCTTTATTCATCGTGAACTGAAGGGCGGAGTCTAGCTGCAAAATCCTCATTTCTCTACAAGAAATTAGCATAGGAAATATGTTTTTAAAAGGGTAGAATTTTGTAGAGAAATAATATGTTAGAATTAAACTCCACCCTTCGTCGAGGCGGGTGCATATTTGTTTTTTTTTTCTTTATATACATAGTTTTCATTCAACAATTTTTTGCAAAGAACAAGATATATTATAATAAAAAAGATAAACTCAACCTATTATTCAATAATTTTGGATTGTACTCCTAATATAAGTCACGTAGAATAACTTGTACTTTTGTATTGAAAAATTAAAAATTGGTCTAAAGAATTTACACAGTACTTCCCTCGCTGTCGGAAACTTGACGACTGCATGCCTATTGTGTTTTTCTTCTCATTACATTTTTGTAGTGGGAATTTAAAAAAAAAATTGCGATGACGTCATCAACATTTTTGCAAGGACACGTATATCAGTTGGGAAGATGTAGTGTAATACTAAGAATAAAATTATTATATTCTCAAATTTTCGGGAAAATGAATTGGGTCGTTTTGAATATTGATTTGTAATAATCAA